GAATACAATTTACACAAGTAATTCATGCTTTGAGTCCTAAACTACCCGGACTTTAGCATTTATAGTAGCTACGCACGGACTCTCGTCACCTCGTGCGTACGTAGCCCCCGCAATTAGCAACAATTATTCAATTTAATCCCTATGGGGTAATTTTCCCCTCACAAGATTAGACAATAAACTTACCTCGTCTCAAAGTCCACTTTTCAATTATCGCGTCGCGTAAAATTTTTGATTCGATGCAGAAAAATTCGAAACTATTCAAAAGTTATATAAAATAATTAATACACGTTCAAAAATTTGAAATTTATCTATTAAATAAATTACCCTATCCAAAATGGTAAAATTTCTAAAATTCATCTCGGGCCCACGCACCCGGATTTCGGAAATTTCCGGAGGAAATCGTTACCCATAATCTCAAGAACTCAAATATAAAATTTTCATCCAATTCCATAACCATTTTCATGGTGAAAAATCAAAAATACCAATTTTCTAGGTTTTCCTTCAAAATTTCAAATTTTTACAAATTTTCATGTCTAAATCCATATATAAACCATGTATTTAACTTGCAATAGGTGGGAATTAACTTACCTCCAAGTTGCTAGGTGAATGCTCCTCTCAAGAAGCTTCCAAGATCGTCCAAGAATGAAGAAATGAGCAAAAATGCTCAAATCCCCGCTTTAAACACTCACTGCCCAACGATCATTGCGCCCGCGGAAAAATTTTAGCATCCGCGGCTTCGCACCCGCGATGAATTTTTCGCACCTGCGGCTTCGCACCCGCGATGAATTTTTCGCATCCGCAGCTTCGCACCCGCGATGGATTTTGCGCATCCACGGCTTCGCACCCGCGATGGATTTTTCGCACCCGCGATGGATTTTTCGCATTCGCGGCTTCGCACCCGCGATCACACCAGATATTAGCTGCCTCAACTCTTCTTCAAATTCCAAATTCGATCCGTTAACCAACCGGAATCCACCCGAGGCCCTCGGGACCTCAACCAAATATACCAACAAGTTCTACAACATCATACGAACTTATTTGAAACTTCAAATCACATAAAATGACGCTAAAATCACGAATTATGCTCCAATTCAAGCTTAATGAAACTTAAAATTTCCAACTTCTACATTCGATGTCGAAACCTATCAAATCAACTCCGATTGACCTCAAATTTTGCACACAAGTCATAAATGACATAAACGGAGCTATAAAAATTTTCAGAGCTGTATTCCGACTCCGGTATCAAAAAGTCAACTCCCCGGTCAAACTTTCAAACTTAAATTCTTATTTTAGCCATTTCAAACCCAATTTCACTACGGACTTCCAAATAAAATTTCGATCACGCTCCTAAGTCCAAAATAACAATACGGCGCTGTTGGAATCATCAAAATTCTATTCCGGGGTCGTTTGTATATAATTCAATATCCGGTCACTATTTGAACTTAAATTCTTTTTAATTATTTCATCAAAATTTTATATCTCGGGTTAGGGACCTCGGAATTTGATTTCGGGCATACGCCCAAGTCCCAAATCACGATACGGACCTACCGAAACTGTCAAAATACTTATCCGAGTCCGTTTGCTCAAAAATTTGACCAAAGTCAAACTTGGCATTTTAAAGCCAACTTAAGGAACCAAGTGTTCCGATTTCAACCCAAACACTTCCAAATCCCGAACCAACCATCTCCAGAAGTCATAAATCATTTAAAGCACATACAGAAAGTTTTATTTAGGGGAACGGGGTTCTAAAAGTCAAAACGACCGGTTGGGTCGTTACAAAATCCCTTATAGATTGCGATATATAAACTTTCAAAGTCGGGTCAGTGCAACCGAGATTTGTTCTACGCGATCGCGAAAGAGCTTTCGCAATTCACAAGGCCCCAAACTGTTGTTTGCTCTTCGTGAACGCGACCAAAAGTTTGCGATCGCGATGCACACTTTTGTAGGCAGAAACCAGCAATTAAAAATGACCTAAAAATGGTCCGAAACTACCCTGAAACTCACCCGAGCTCCTCGGGATCTCAACCAAATATACCAACAAGTCCTAAAACATCATACGAACTTAGTCGAAGTCTCGAATCACATCAAACAATGCTAAAATCATGAATCACACCTCGATTCAAATCTAATAAACTTTAAACTTTCAAATCTTATATCTTGTGCCGAAATACATCAAATCAATCCGGAATAACTTCAAATTTTGCACACAAGTCATAAATGACATAACGAAGCTATTTCAATTTTCAGAATCGAATTCCGACCTCAATATCAAAAAGTCAACCCCCGGTCAAACTTTTCAAAAATTTAACTTTCGGCATTTCAAGCCTAATTTCACTACGGACCTCCAAATAATTTTTCGGACATGCTCCTAAGTCCAAAATTACCATACAGAGCTATTGGAATCATCAGAATTAAATTCTGAGGTCGTTTACACATAAGTCAATATCCGGTCAAGTTTTTCTTCATTCAAGCTTCTAAATAAGGATTGTTCTTTTAATTTAATTCTGAATCTTCAGTAATTCAAACTCGACCACACCCGCGTGTCATAATATATATTGCGAAGCTGCTCGAGACCTTAAGTCACTGAACGGGGCGTAAATTCTTAAAACGACAAGTCGGGTCGTTACAAATACAGATGGTCAACATTAAATTGTTGAGTGATTGAAATTTCTTTCAAACAATCTGGTCTGAAATATTTTCACAAGGTTGTTTTCTGTGATCCCTTCCCTCTTTTAAGTTCCTTTTGCGAATTGAGAGCCCTTTTATTTTGGTACAAGTGCTTCAAACCTAATTTGCCGAATACCAGCAGTCATCCAATCAATTCCTGCACCAAAAGAATTATCAAATTAGGACAAAATAACTTGTATAAAATATACAAACTTCCTCTCTCCAATTTTAAAAACGGATCTTGGATTATAACAAAACTAACCAAAGGAATAATCAATACCTGTACAACTTTAACCAGGGAAGATATTTGTTCACTTACTCTAGTCTAAAGTCATGAAATTTTAGAATCTTAGGTTTATGTAAATAGAGTTTTCTTGAGGCAAAAGTCTCTCGCTATAAAAGCATAGAAGCATAGCGAGAATATTAGACCTAAAAATAGATTATTCTTTGAGTCCATATAATATTAGTATTTTTGACCTATTTTTAATTTTAAATAAGGAAGAATTTAATGTACAAAATTTCATTGATTTAGAACTACTAAACATTAGGGAAAAGTTTAAATGATAATTTTGTCTGAGGTGGAATCTATTTTTTGAGGGTAAAAAAGGCGAACGACATTTCGTTAAGACCCTTCGTATTTTTAATATAATATAGATATAGATAGATAGATAAGTGTTGTACAATAGTTATCAAAATTCCAAACTGGAAAGGGGTGGAGTGGGCCTCCATTATTGGGCCGTCAGTAGAGCCCAAAAGAAAATGTCTTGGCAACTTCATTGGTCCTATATGCAGGCGACCCGCCACCATATCTGCTCAGTGTCTTCTTCCTCTCTCCTCTTCATTCATAAACATCTGCCTGCATTATTTATGCTTTTTTGCAGCGAAAATTATCATCCTGAGGCTGTTTGATAAAATGCCTAAGAGGTTTCTCAATTCCAAATTCAAGTTACCTAAGGCCTTTCTCTTGCTTCGCTCAACAATGTAATCATCCTCAACTCTCTATTCAAAATTCTCTTTTTAATCACATGGCCTGTAATTGCGTTCTAAATTCTCAATTTTTTCCTTCCTTTCCCCAATTTAACAAACCCCACTGTCGAAAAAATAGAACCCCGTTAATCATTTCATGCAGTTCTGACAGTCCCACAACCGAAGAAGACAAGAAACTTAGGTTTAATCAACTGGGTTTACTTAATCTTTCAGTTACACTCACTGTACTTTCAACTTCACTTGTAAGACCCGCAAATGCAGCAAAAGTCTCCGAAAAGAGACGTTCGACGAAAAAGACTGAAGCTTTAACGCCACAAGAGTTGAAAAAATGGTCACAGGGCCTTCCAACTGTGAGCAATAGGCTGCCTTATACAGAAATATTGGATTTGAAAAGGGAAGGGAAACTTAAGCATATAATTAAACCACCTAATGTAGAGTTAAAGCAACGGCCCGAGGTAGTTTTAGCTGTTTTAGAGGATTCTAAGGTTGTTAGAATTGTGTTACCTTCTGTTGAGAGTGATCCAAGATTTTGGTCTGAATGGGATGACCTGAAAATTGATGGACTTTGTATGAATGCCTATACTCCACCACTGAAAAAACCTGAGCTGCCTTCACCTTATTTGGGGTTCTTGTCAAATATTCCAGCTTGGATGCTTTCTTTTGTGAAGGCCAAGCCACAGTCAAAAAAGGCGTTGGAGCTGAAGAGGGTGAGAGAAGAACTTAAGAGGAGGCAAAACCAGGAGTTAGCAAAGATGAGGGTGGAGAGGGAGAGGATGGAGAAGGCAATGAAAACGCAGAAGAAAGTGGAAGAGAGGAAAAGAAAGAGGGAGTTGAAGAGAATGAGGTATGAGGAGTCGTTGCGTCAAGCAAGTAGAAGTTCTCAGGATATGGCAAGAATGTGGGAAACCTTAGCTAGTGATTCGAATGTTGCCACTGCTCTTGGATTGGTATTTTTCTACATATTTTATAGAACTGTCGTGCTTAGTTATAGGAGGCAGAAAAAGGATTATGAGGATAGGTTGAAGATAGAGAAAGCAGAAGCTGATGAGAAAAAGAAGATGAGGGAATTGGAGAGGGAAATGGAAGGGCTTGAGGGTGTTGATGATGACGACGACGAGGAAGGAAAAAAAGGGGAGGAAAATCCTTATATGAAGATGGCTATGCAATTCATGAGGTCAGGTGCTCGTGTCCGAAGAGCACGTAATAAGAAACTTCCCCAGTATTTAGAGAGAGGTGTGGATGTTAAGTTCTCTGATGTTGCTGGGCTTGGGAAAATCAGGGAGGAGCTTGAGGAAATTGTTAAGTTCTTCACCCATGGGGAGATGTATCGCAGGCGAGGAGTCAAAATACCAGGTCAGATATATGAACATATTGATTTTTGGGGGGTCTTCTTGAATGTGGTTCCTATTTGAGTTTGTTGTTTGACGTATAATTTCTGTAAATAGGAAGTCCTTTTCTTTCTATTTCAGATCAGCAGGAATATACCGCTTCAATTGCTCTAGACTTGTTAGTTATTTGTTCTGGGTACTAGTGTGTATTTCTGTAATTTACTGTCATTTCCTTATGGAATCGTGTGTTTACGTGGATACAATAGACATAAAGCTATAGGCTTCTTCCACTGTGAAATTGCAGCGTTAGCGGATCCAAGGTTCTTTAGTCCACCGCTAGCTAGGTCACCTATGGCTCTTTCTTTATCATGGAATTGGGGGTTTACTAAGTTCTGTCCTTTGGCAGTGGGCACTTCTACATCCATATCTCTATGAGTAACATCTATAGTGCAAAATGTATTTGCTCGCCTTTACTTTGTAACAAGAGATTCTTGCTTTAGTAAAGTTTCTCCTAGATATTTCTCTGGGTTTTTACATCTACCTGCATTTTACTACTCCGTGTTTTAACATAATTCTATCGCATGCAAGAATAGAACTCACTCTGACTTCAATATAACATTAATAAGTTTGATATCTGCTTCTGTAACTTTAACTAAGAGAACCTCTTATCTGTCTGTCTCTCTCTCTCCCCTCAAAGTTTCCTTGTCATTCATTACATCAATTTATGCAAATAGCATTTCCAGTGCCTCTTTAATTTATATA